GGGCCCGGGGCTGGCACGGGCAGAGTCCTGGGAGAGCCTGCCACGAGGAGAGCGCAGCAGCGCCCGCCGGAGCCAGGCCCGGCTGGGAACGTTCTTCCTGAGGACTGATGGGGAAAAAACAAAAATCTTACATTCATGTTTGCACTTGCTGGTCTTTTTGTTTCTGCACTAATGCACAGTGAGTTTTGTTGGGGTTTGTTTGGGGGTGTTTTGAGGGGGGGAGTGCCCCTCAAGCCATTCTGCAGTTCCCAGACTTTGGTTCCTGGTTTGCTGACGAGAAGCAAAAATTGAAAACAAATAAACCCAACCAACCAAGGGCCATGTGTCGCGGGGGCGTCGCCGCAGGCGCCCCCGCCCTGGTTTTTTTATTTTTTAAAGGCGCTTTTTTACATTCCTTGCAATACTGGTGGAGAGAGCGCAGGTCTCATTGGTCATTGTTTTGCCGTTGCCATACAGTGCCTTTCCATTCATTTACCCCCACCTGGATGGTGTGACCTGGGTGTTCAGCTGGCGTTTTTTACTGTAACAACAAGGAGACTTTGCTCTTCATTTAAACCAAATCATATTTCATATTTTACGCTCGAGGGTTTTTACGAGTTCCTTTTTACACTCTTAAAAACAGTTTTTAAGTCGTTTGAAATGAGAGATTTTTTTCTTTTCCTGGCAGCTTTTAACATTATTGCAATTTGTGTCTGGGGGCTGATGGCAGGACGTTGTAAATCCAGGGGTTTGCAACGGGACAGGCCGGGCTTTTTTTTGTTTTTGGATTTGAAACTGGACGGGATGAGGATCTCTGAGCTGCTGTATATAGTTTTAAATAGTTTGTTGCACTTTTTTAAGTTGCACTTATGGGGGGTTGATAGAGGTTTTTAATCACACAAAGTCACAGGACTTACCTTTTCTTTTGTAACAAGCTAAAAAAGGGCTGCGTTTTGGTGGACGATGAAGGTTCCTGGGAGCCCTTTCTCTTAGAGGGGACAAGTAATTTTCCTTTCCTTCCCGAGATGTTTGGAGTATCAGTGCAGTCGACTGAAATGCTGCTGCTGGGATTTGAGACCTTAATTATGCTGATCATTATTATTTTGTTACTTTCCCCTCTATTGGAAGCTGTGTGCCAAAGAACCAGTGTCATAATTTCTCCCTCTTTACTATGATTATTTTTTTTTTCTTTCCTGCTGAGCTGATGTTGCATTGTTGCATATCCCAGCTGCTCTTTGTGGGGTTTTGTGAAGCTGTGTGTGAAGTCTCTACCTCATTGTAGTATATGCAGGCAAGACTGCACTCTCCTACAGACGTGTGGAGTAAGCTGTGGTGTAGTTTTTGGCACATAATAAACACGTTGCAGCAAAAAAAAAAATATTTCTTGTGCCTTGTGTGCTTCATGGGAGATCTCTGCATCTCACAGGCTGTGGTATCTGTCACTCCCTGGAGGTGTGGAGGAAGGTATGGATGTGGTTTGGGGAGAGGGGATGGATGGAGCTATGAATTGTGGATGCTGTGTTGGTGGGTGACTCAGCTGGGAGGGAGTTCTGTCTGCTGGGCAATGCATTTTTAGATCCCATTTACCTGAGGTCCCTACAGGCCCCTAGGCTCCAGCCGGAGCTCCCCTAATTGCAACAAGAAGTTAATGAGGCTGATAGAGGGGCCTGTGCTGCCCTGTGTTCTCTCACTGTGGCGGGGCGGTGCTGCTCCTGCAGGGCTGGGAGGGGAGAGGGATCGAGGGCTCCTCTCTGTGGGGCTGGGCCGAGTTGGACTGAGGCTGCCACAGCGGCCACCGTGTGTGCCCGGTGTCCCTGGAGCAGGGCAGGCTCTGGGCTCCTTCCCCGTCCCACAGCGCTGACTCTGCAGCAGCCTTGTGCTCACCCCTCCTCCTCTGGGGCGGAGGGCTGCGAGTTTGCAGCTGCTCCGTGTCCTCTCCCAGGGCCAGCTGTGGGAGGGGCCGGTGCCGCTGGCACTGCCGCGCTCTCCAATTCCCTTCCCGGGTTGCTCCATCCTGTTCCGGGCCGCGGGGCGGTGCGGGAGCCCCTCGGGCCGCTCCCGCCTCAGGCCGCTCCCGCCTGGGCTCGGCCCCGCCCGCCGCTCCCGCCTCTGCTGGAACCCTCCGAGCCGCCAGGGGGCGCGGTGAGCGCCGCTGGCTTCCGGCGCCTCCCGCCACCCTCCGCTCTTTTTCCGCGGCTGCCGCCGACATGGTGAGTCCGGGTCCCGCCATCCGCCGCCATCCTCAGGCGGGCCCGCGCCCCCGCGGCGGGGAGCGGTGGTGGGGACCGGAGGGGACCGGGGCGAGGGGCAGTGAGGGGCGATGAGAGCCCGGGATGGCTGGGGAAGGGGGGCCGGGGGGCGCTGGGCCTGGGCTCGGCGGAGCCTGACCGGCGGCCCTCCCGCGCACCCCGCGTTAGGGACGCGTTCGGACGAAGACGGTGAAGAAAGCGGCGCGGGTGATCATCGAGAAGTATTACACACGTCTAGGGAATGACTTCCACACCAACAAGCGCGTGTGCGAGGAGATCGCCATCATCCCCAGCAAGAAGCTGCGCAACAAGATTGCGGGGTGAGGCACTGCGGGCCCGGGTGGGCTTGGGACACCGGAGGGTCGCGGGGGGTTCGGGCACCGCGGGGCCCCGGATGGGCTTCGGGCAGCTGGGGGTGTCCCCGGGAGGTTTGGGCATCGGACGGGCCTGGGGGATTCGGGCACGGCGTGGGCGTTCCTGCATTCGAAAGTGATTACGGTCCTGCCTGTGGCCGGGTCATTGATAGTGCAGGGAGAGGAGAGCGAGAGTTTTCCCGTGTTTGGGGGGTGTATGTGTCTCCCCCAAACCCTGTTGCTATCGGACAAATTGTCTCTGATCCTCTGGAGGTGATGGGATGATGCCAGGGTGAGTGATGGGACATTGCCGGGGTAGATGGTGACAGCTGTCCTCATCCTGCTGTGGTTCCGGGATTTGGGGTGTGGGGAAGGGTGCTATGAACCTGGGGAAAGCCCAGGACACCCCCGTGTCCCCGCAGGTATGTCACCCACCTGATGAAGCGAATCCAGAGGGGCCCTGTCCGTGGCATCTCCATCAAACTGCAGGAGGAGGAGAGGGAGAGGAGGGATAACTACGTCCCAGAGGTGAGGCTCCAGCTTCCCCATCTTGCTCCGTCCTGCCTCGCTGGATCTCCAGAAATGCTCCCAAATTTCTTTAAAACAAACCCCCAGTCAGGAGGAGCTGAGGAGAGTTTGGATCAAGGGGGCTGAGGTGGATCCCTCCAAAGCTGCCACCTGGGACAGGAAGGACAGCTGGCTTTTCATGGTTTGGTTTTCCTAACTTAAAATTTGGGAAAAAAGAAATTGGATGGGAAGCAGGAGGATATTTCAGAATGGTTGAAAACCTGTCTTGTAACTGGAATCCCTAGAGGGAAGTTTTGGTAAAAAACCCTTGCCTTAACCCTCTGTTTGGGTGAGCTCAAGATCTCACCTGTCACCTGGGTGAGGTGGTCCAGGAGGGCTTCCCTTGTTCCAGGAATCCTGTTGTTCCTAAATCCTGTAACCTTCAGGCACAGCACATCTTGCCCTTTTCCCAGTCAGCTCCTGGCAGAGCTGCTGGTTTCTGTGCTGGCACCAGAGAGGGGTTACAGCAAAGGAATGTCCATGCTGCAGCTGTTGGTGCAGTGTCAGCACACAAAACCTGTGCTGTTTGTGGTTTCTTAGAAAAATCCTGGTGTTACATAGCTCTTGGGGAAGGAAACCTGTGGAGGTGGAGTTTTTGGGGTCTGGAGAGGACTGGAGGGAGTTTAGCTGGGAGTAAAGAGCAGGAGAGCACGGGTGTTGTTGGCACTGTGGTGGCCTTGTGTCACTGATGACTGCCCAGACTGGTGCAGTTGAGGGTCCAACGCCAGCTCCTCAGCAGCCTTGGCCTGGAGCAGGTTGGGCCTCAGTTTCCAAAGATTGCCATAAATCAGGCTTTTCCCTCCACTGCCAGTGGCCTCTTGAAGTGTTCAGTCAGGAAAGCTGTGTTCCACCAGGATGCTCCTGGCTCTGCTGCTGGAACTGCTCCCCACAGCAGTGGGATGAGACCAGAGTGGCTGTGGTGACATTCAGGTTGTTGTGGGGCTTTATCAATCACACTTTTTCTCTCCCCTCTGTCCCCAGGTCTCTGCCCTTGACCAGGAGATCATTGAAGTGGACCCAGACACCAAGGAAATGCTGAAGCTCCTGGTGAGTGGCCACAACTGTTCCCTGCCCAGCTGCTGGCATATCCCTGGCACAGCTGCTGCTGCCCTGAGTGGCTGGATGGTGTCAAGGGTCTCCCTCTGCCCGGGGTCCTGTGGGAGGATCAGTTCACGTATGGCTTTTGGAAGGGCAGAGGCTTGGGGGCTCTGCCACCAGCAGGGTGGGGGTGTTCCTTGCCCTCCATTCTGATGATTCCCTCACCAAGGAGTCAATCTCTGCTGCAGGGTGGTCTCCCCTTCTTAGGAGACCTTGGTCCATCCTTTGTGCTGCCACAGCACCTTCCCCCTTCCTACACCTCCCCGGAGGAACTTGCCTCCACTGTCAGTGGGCAGGATGCTGTGACTGATCCCATTGTTGCTGTTTTCCAGGATTTTGGCAGCCTGTCCAACCTGCAGGTGACACAGCCTACAGTGGGAATGAACTTCAAGACGCCCCGAGGAGCGCTCTGAGTCTGTCCCTGTGTGTCGCTTTTCCAATAAACGTGAGGAAACCATCTCAGCCTGCCTGGTCTTTAGACACCCAAGGGATAAGGGAGGGTGGGTCCTTGGGGTGCCACATTGGAGCATGCAGAGGACTCAACACCTTTGTGCATACCAGCATCTTTTTGGGCTCTTTCCTGGCAGTTTGGGGTGTGAGGTGCAAAGCTGTTTAATTTTAGAGGCTCTCCTGCCTTTGGGGCAGTGGGAGAACAACCATGGTGGCTCCTTGGAGCTTGTGGGAGCCTGTCCTAGGTTTTTCTGTGCTTCCTCCAAGTGGACAGCCCAAGGATCAGGCTGTACCACAATAAAAGTTGTTTTTGCAACTCTATTGGTCATTTCCAAGTGCTTAAACAAAAGGGAAAAAGTCTTAAAATTCTTTAATTAAATGAAAGTGAGATGTCCCTCCTTGTATTGTCCCTCCAAGAAAAATTTGCTTAAACTAGTTAAAACACAGCTTAAACCACCACACTCCCTACAGCCCCACAATAAAAAGAAAATATTTGTGTTTTGGGGAAAAATGTCTGTATTTATGTTTGTTGTGAAATTTAGTTTAAGTAGTTATTTAAAGAAGCAAATACTGCTATAACTGTAGCCAGTACTTAACACATTGAATGCTCTGAGCTGTGGTGGGATAATTCATAAATCATCTGGCAGCTTTCTGCTGCTCCAGCCACCTGTTCCTTAACATTTCCTCTTCATTTTGGCCTTCTCACAGTAAATGCTGCATTTGCTTTGAACCCAGTAGACTGCATAGCCCGAGGTGCCGGGGATAAAGTCGTGGAGTTCCCCCTCATATTTCTTCATGTCCCGTGCAGAGGCATAGCCTGTGGAGGGAGAATGGGCTCACTGAGTCCCTGCTCCATCTGCAGGCCTTTCCAGGTGGATTTATTTACCTGTCACCATGTTATTTATTGGGTATTCCTGGAGGGCACGGCATGGAAATTCTCCCTGGGTAGGTGCTTCAGACTCTGTTTCTTCACTGCTGTATTAGGAGGGGAAAAAAAATCTGTGTGTTAGTTCCTATGTGTTAGGATTGCATGGAATTGGAGGTGTATCCAAATCCCACCACCCAAGATAGGAAAATACCTCTCAGCCAGGTCTAGCACTTCCTCCTCTGATTTTTCCTCACAGCTATTTCTTGCTGCTTCTGGTTCCTCTGTCAGATTTTCATTGGGCTGTGAATATCAGCAGAAGAATGAATTAAAATTGTCCCTGGGTCACCCGCAGACACCTGGTGCATGGATTCTTAGGGCTTATGATTTCAAGTATAATTCAGAGTTCAATTTTAAATTTAAGGGCATTCCTGCTTCAAAAATGCTGGGAAGTTGCTTTGAGAGGAGAGTGGGCAGTGACATGGGGAAGGAAAACACCAGACCAAAGGGCTGAGCTCAGCCTGTGGCAATTGGAATCCCTGGAACAGCACACTACTGGGAGACTGGATGTGTCTGAGCAAGGGGGACAGTCCTTCCACTGCTGTCCCCCTCAGGATGTCATGCAGGGAGGGACACAGCACAGCGGGCACAAGGAATCAGATCAGGTTGGAAAAGACCATCAGGTCCAACCAGTGACCAGTCAGCACCTTCCCAAGCAGACCAGAGCACTGGGTGCCACATCCAGTCATGCTGGGCAGCCCATTCCAGTGCCTAGTCACCCCTTCTGGGAAAAAATCCTTTCTGATGTGCAGCATAAACCTCTCCTTGTGCAGCCTAAGGCAGTGTCCTCTCATTCTGTCCCTTGGTCCCTGGGAGCAGTCCCCCAGCTGTCCCCTCCCATCAGGAGTTGTGCACAGCCAGAAGGTCCCCCCTGAGCCTCCTTTTCTCCAGGCTGAGCCCCCCCAGCTCCCTCCTGGTGCTCCAGACCCTTCCCTGGCTCAGTTCCTTCTCTGGGCCTTCTCCAGCACCAAAATGTCCTTGAATTGAATTGAGGGGGTCCAGAACTGGACACAGCACTCAAGCTGGGGCCTCAGCAGTGCCCAGTACAGGGGAAAAATTCACTTCCTGGTCCTGCTGGCCACACAGGCCAGGTGCCCCTGGCATTCTTGGCCACCTGGGCTCATGTTCAGCTGCTGTTGATCAGCACTCCCAGGACCTTTCTTGCTGGGCTGCTTTCCAGCCTCTCAGTCTGTAGCTCTGCAGGGGTTATTGTGGCCAAAGTGCAGGACCCAGACCTTGGCCTTGTTGACCCTCCTAGAGCTGACCCTGGTCCATTGATCCATCCTGTCCAGGTCCCTCAGCAGAGCCTTCCTAGTGTCCAGTAGAACCACACTGCCACTCAGCTTGTGACTCAGGTGTCACCTGTCTGCCAGGGGTGGACTCAGTCCCCTCATTCAGATCTTCAAGAGAGGTGTTGAACAGGCCTGGGCCCAACACTGATCCCTGGGGGACACCACTGGTGACCAGACACCAACTGTCCCTGCTGTGGGCTGCAGTTCTCCAGGAGATGCTGTGGGAAATGGTGTCAAAGGCTTTGCTGACATCCAGGTAGGCACATCACAGCCTTTCCTTCATCCAGGTGGATCCCCTTGTCATGAAAGGAAATCAGGTTGGTCAGGTAGGACTTGCCTCTCCTAAAGCCATGCTGGCTGGGTCTGATCCCTTGGTTTTCCTGGATGTGCCAGGTGATGGCACTTGAGGTGATCTGCTCCATAACCTTCCCTGCCACTGGTCACACTGAAAGATCTCTTAATTCCTAGACCCTCCTTCCAGCCCTTCTTGTGGATGGGTGTCACATTGTCCCTTGTCATCTGGGACCTCCCCAGTGAGCCAGCACTAGTGATCAATGATGGACAGCAGCTTGGCAAGCTCTTCCTCCACCTCCCTCATCACCCTGGGATGGATCCCATCCAGGCCCGTGGACTTGTGAGCATCTAAGTGGCACAGCAGGGCAGTGACTGCCTCCTCCTGGATTCCTGGAGGTCCATTCTGCTCCCCATGCCTGTCTACCACCTCAGGGGGCCATTTGTCCTGATCCAACTAAGACTGATTCAGTCTTAGTGCTGAAGACTGAGGCAAAGGAGGTGGGAAGTACCTCAGCCTTTTCCTAGTCCTTGGTGATGGACACTGCAATAAAGAATAGAGGTTTTCCTTGGTCCTCCTTTTATATATATAATTTATAAAAATATTATCCTTTACACAGGTGGCCAGATTTAAGTTCTAACCAAGCTTTCACCTCTAATTTTCTTCTTTCTGCATGACCTAAAAACATCTTTAAATGCTTCCTGAGTTGCCTGCCCCTTTTCCCAAAAATTATATAGGCTCTTGTTTCCCCTGAATTCCTGTGCAAGCTCCCTGCTCAGCACAAGCTCATCCTCCAGCACATACATGTGTAGTACAAATTTTTCATCTTACCTGTTCTTCAAGGGTATCTGCCTTCTCCCAGATAAACCGGCCAATCTTCCTTCTGATTTCTGACAAGAACAACAAAACTAGTGACTGGGAGAGCACCAAAAACCAGAACTCTGGCACTTGCTGCCAGTGTGATGCCCTGCAGGTGCCTCTAGGGACAAGCCCAAATGCAAGGTCCTGCCCCTGGGCCAGGGCAATCCCAAGCACAAATTCAGGGTGGGCAAGGGTGAGTTGAAAGCAGCCCTGAGGAGAACTTGGGGGTGTTGGTGGATGAGAAGCTGGTGGATGTGAGCTTCCATGTGTCCTGGGCTCATCCCACAGTGTGGGCAGCAGGAGAGGGGAGGATTCTGGCCCTCTCAGGAGCAGCAGTGCTCCTCCAGCTCTGGGGTCCCCAACAGCTGAGGGACACGGAGCTGTTGGAGCCAGTCCAGAGGAGGCTATGGACATGTTCCAAGGGCTGGAGCCCCTGTGCTCTGGAGCCAGGCTGGGAGAGCTGGGGGTGCTCACCTGGACAAGAGAAGCTCCAGGGAAACCTCAGGCCCCTGCCAGGGCCTGAAGGGGCTCCAGGAGAGCTGGAGAGGGACTGGGGACGAGGGCCTGAAGTGCCAGGACAAAGGGAAAAGGCTTCAAACTGACAGAGAGCAGGGTTAGATGGGATGCTGGGAAGAAATTCTTCCCTGTGAGGGTAGTGAGGGCCTGGCACAGGTTTCCCAGAGCAGCTGTGGCTGCCCCATCCCTGGGAATGTTCAAGGTCAAGCCATTCTGTGATAATAGATGGACCATACTCTGTCCTCTGGGAGGAAGAGCCACTCCCAAACAGAAGGAAAAGTCCCTCCCTGCAGACAAGTAACTGTCAGTACCAAGGCTGTACTCATGGGGGATTTCCACGGGAAAATATCCCCAGATGATTGTTTTTGCCTGACCTTCATGCAGGCAGGCAGGGGGCAGGACAAAGTGGCCCAGAACCACCGAGGGCCTCTCTGCAGCTCGGGTGCTCGCACACACTGAGAGGTAACAGGAGTGAAAGACCGTGGCTTTGCCCTCCAGGTAACTGAGACTCTCGTGTATGCTGGAAGACAGAAAGAGAGCTGGTTTCCAAAGAGAAAGCAAACCAAAATGAAAACGTTTAGAGGGATGTTGTCATGAAATTTGCTCTGATTTTTTTTGCCAAAAGCACCTAATTTTCTGTGATTTTCTACCTCTGAGACTCTACCAGTCATGTGGTGGCTGCCAGCACCTCCCAGGGGCAGCCTGGAGGAGGGATCAGGGTAAATGTATTTTTAGGGATTACACAGTCCCACTCTGCTCTTGAGGTGAAACTGCTTAGGGGAGGGCAAAGACAGGATTTTTCTACAATTATCCTTCACCACACTGGTTCCTGCTCACACAGCTGAGCAAGGAAGTGGAAGTGGAGGGTGCTCCAGCCATCACTGTCCTTCTTAGAGAGGAATTAAATCTTGTTTTCTGGGTTTGAGGATGTGTATAATGATTGCATTTTTTCACAAGGAACTATCTAAAAATATACATTGAATATATATATATTCAATGTATTTTGAATATATATATAACTTTATATATAGTAATAGTATATATATGTTTAAATATAGTATATATCATATATACTATATATACTATATATATGCTACAGTATACTCTCTATATAATATAGTATACATATATAAATATAAATAAATATAAATATATAAAAATACAAATATAAAAATATAAAAATATAAATATATATAAATAAATTATCCAGAATTCTCCTGGGGGAGCAGGCTGGTCTGGCAGCACATTGTTACAGAAGAAAAGCTGTTATTCAGTGTTTACTGGAATTCCCCTCGCTTAGCTGGAGCAGGTGGCTGAAAGATTCCAAAATTCAAAGGCAGTTTTAAGCACTGGTCTGTTAGAGAAACTACTTAATTCAGCCTAGCAAAGCCTAAGGGAAATATCGCAGCTTCCTTCCCCATACATATGTTTACATGACTAAATAATGAATAAATACAAAAACTCGCTGATATTGAGGAAGTGAGAAAGATCCTTAAGACTTTCCTTATATATGTACAAATGTTCCATAGCTCTCTTTTTTTTTCTTTTTAATTAAGCATTTCAGTCCTTTTCTGTCCATTTTTAACCCAGTGCTTCCTTTTAGCATTAATTCACATTGGCTTTTTAGCACCAGGTTCCTTCTTGGGAATTGTGTCACCTCTGTTTCAGATGCTGATTTTCCAGCAGATAATTCACAGCCAGCAAGAAACCAGCACAATTAATTTAATTTATATCACAGTTAAGCCATTCTCAACCCATGGATGGTTTTTCTCTATTCTGTCTATCTATAGCTTAGTGAGGGTGTGAGTTTTCCTGAGCCCACTGGCCAATGGCAGATCCACGCCATGACTTTAAAAACACACCCTTGAATTTTGGTGCTCTCACAGTCACTAGGATGTCAATATCCATGAAATACTTTTCACTAAATACATTAAAGCCTCCTGTGCCCACCTGCGGGTGTCGGGGTGGGCAGCATCGCTGCTGAAGAGGTAGTCGGCATCCAGCCAGTGGGCGATGGTCCCGCCGCCGTCGGCTGCCGGGGACAGGGAGCCAGGTGAGCGAGGGCATCCCGGGGTTCCCACCTCGGGGTGACCCGGGGAGGGGACAGCTGCTTGTGGAGCTGCAGAGATTGGCCCTGAAGTGGAAGCTGTGACAGCTCGCCACGGCTGTGGGATGCCCATTGCTCCCCTGAGGGTTGGTCAGGGCTTTTCCTCAGTGTGGGTGCACCGTGGATTGGCCTAACTCTTGTTCTGCCCTGTTGTGTGGGTCTCAGTCCTACGAAGGGGTGACAGGGCTGTGTCCCCACTGCTGTGCCCTGCTGAGGAATGATGGATGGGCTGTGCTCCCCTCCTAATTCCCCCTGGGCGGTGACAGGACCGTCCCCCTGCCAATTCCCCCGCAGATCCCTGCCCGCTCCGTGCCCCGGGGCTCCCCTGGACTTGGCCGCGGTCCGGCCCCCTCACCCCAGAGCCCCCGCGGGCCCGGGCTGACGCTCTGCGAGAACCAAGCGCGGTGTCCGCGGAACATCGCGGCGGGAGCCGCCCGGGGAGGAGCCGAGAGAGGGAACGGCCGTGAGGAGCTGGAAAGGAGACAGGAACCGCCCTGAGGGGAACGGCCGTGAGGAGGTGGAAAGGAGGCGGGAACCGCGCTGAGGGGAAAGGAGGGCGGGAACGGCCGTGAGGAGGCGGAAAGGAGGCGGGAACCTCCCTGAGGGGAAACGAGGGCGGGAACGGCCGTGAGGGGGTGGAAAGGAGGCAGGAACCGCCTTGAGGGGAGAAGATGGCGGGAGCGGCCGTGAGGGGCTGGGGGGAGGCGGGAACCGCCCTGAGCGGAACGGCCCTGAGGGGCTGGAAAGGAGGCGGGAACGGCCGTGAGGGGAAATGAGGGCGGGAACGGCCGTGAGGGGAAGCGGTGGTGGGAAAACCCGGCGAGAGGGAGAACGGCTGAAGCTGCGCCAGGGAACTTTAAGCTGGATATTAGGGAAAGGTTCTTCCCCCACAGCCTGGCCGGGCACTGGAACAGCTCCCCAGGGCACCCCCAAGCCTGACAGAGCTCAAAGGGCACTTGGACAACACTCTGAGGCACAGGGCGGGGTTTTGGGGTGTCCCATGCAGAGTTAGGAGTTGGACTCGATCCTTGTTCTCCTAGAAGCTTTTCTCAGAAAAACCCTTGCATTTTGCTGATTCCAGAAACTGCTTACAGAAAAATTGCTTTTGTTTCATAAAGCACAAATGAGGCTTGTTTCATGCTTGAAGTTTCCCAAGATAGCCCTCAGTATAACCCATCCCCTGGGAACTGTTGCCAGCAGCAGCAGCTCAGCAAGGTCCCGAGTAACTCAGAACCCCAAGGACACTGGATAAATCTGAGAAGGTATTTCTGGACATCGTCCTGAAATCCACAGGAAAGGAAATCAGCCTCTGATGTGGTCACGTGTTGTTCTCCCACAGACAGGGGATTTTTGAGTAAACCATCAAAATAGGAACAGAAAAATCCCACAGATGCAATCAGGGCAGACCTCCCCCGTGTGTGAAGATGATGATGTGTCCTTTGGAGACAGGGTCACTTCACATTGCCTCCACTGAGTCTTCAGTTTCTGTAGTTGCCTCCACTCCTTTCCTAATTAGGGTGAAGCTCTCTTGGTGGAGTGGTTACCCAGCAATTATTCTGGCGCTCTTGAGGATAGGAAAGGTGGAGCTGAGGTGGTGGAAAGCACTTTGGTGCCCTTCATGATCCAGGGAAGGAGGCCAGGACATGTTCCACAGCTCCTTGGGCTTATACAGCATCCAGTGCTGCTCCACGGGGGTTTCTGGGAGAGAAGCTGAAACCTTTTCCTCTCTCCCAGGCCACCTTCTCTCACACAGGGAGCACTGCTGGGGCTGCCTGAGTGCATCTGGTGCTGCAGGCTGAGCTGTGTCCTGCTGTCCTGTGCTGACATGAGCACTGTGCACAACCCCCCAGCCATGACAGCCCCACCTGTCCTCCTTGAACACCCCTTGATGAACCCAAAGGGATCCCCATAACGGGCCCCTGCCCCTCAGCAACCTACCATGTGGGTGTTGGACGTGCAACAGCCTGGATTAGCCAAATCCCTAACAAAAGAACTGGTTATAATGAAAACAGCTATGGAACAAGACAATATCTATCAATAAAAAATCTCAAGTGTATGTATGTTCTATGACACCATCATAGCAAATCTTAATGTACCCAAGAAGAGACATGGGATTCCACACAAGTGATCCTGGTTAAATCCATTTGGATACAATAATCCTCAAGCAATCATTCTGATTTCTTCATAAAATAAAAGTGAGCTGATGGCAGCAGCACTGGTTTTGGGTAGTGTGAATCCCCCACGGTGTAACAGAGGACTGGCCTCAACTTCTCCATAGGCTCAGGCACAGAGAGAACCAGAACTGAAATTCACCACCACAAACATCAGCTTCCCCCAGGCTCAGCTTTACACCACACACTCCAAGATGCATCTGTCAGAGTCCTCCCCATTAGAGTGAGCACCATTCCCTGCCATCGCTCCTTCTGTGTCCCACCCTGTGTCCCCAAGGTTCTTTATCCCTTTTTAAACCTTGTGCCTTCCCTCCTCCATGCAGGAGCCTCCAGCCAGGCAGAAACCACACCAGCAAAAAAAAAAACAACCAAACAAACTTTAATTGTCTTTTATTGATGGAAAACTGATTTTGCATCTTCTCAGGGGGATAAAAAAACAAGCACAAAAACGCCCATCGTGGCACCAAGGCTACATATCCACCCACAACCCAGAGGCCATCAGAGCCTGTGAAACCAGCTTGTCAAACAACTCTGAAGAAACATCCTAGGAACTAGTAGTTAATTAAAGGATAAAAATCCTGCAAAATTTTGAGCAGTGAAAAGTTACCATTATTCTTTAAGCAGTAAAATTTTTAGCTCAAAAAGCCTGCAGAGCTCCCTTGACACTGTGGCCAAAGTGTTGTTTCTAACAAAACTTATTAGTGAATTTCGGAAAGGAAGTTGATCAGTCTTGTGGCTATGATGAAGAATGGAAGAAGCTTGAGAAAACTCTGACTTGAAGGAAGAATGTCTCAAATCTGCATGGAGAGAGTAGATTGACATCAGTCACTCTAGTGACACCTTCAACTGCAATTATTTTAGGACTAAAAACCAGTTTCCTCAGAGCAGTCTGACTGCAGTGTCCCTGCAGAATCACCTCCCAGTGAGATTCAGGTAAAAATCCTGCAGAAACTGCTTTTCTGTCCCCTGCTTGGTGGAGTTCAGAGTTCAACAAGTCAAGAGGATCCTTATTCTCCACCCCAGGGAGGAGTTAGTCCTGCTCTCAACTCTTTCCATGCCAGCTCAGTAAATCCTTGTCCCCAGACCACAGTGAAGTCACCCACGTCCCCCCTCCAGGCAGATGTGGCATCCCTCACCAGTGTCCCACCAAGCAAGTCATGGTGCTGTGTGAGCACAGCACATTCCAGACCCTGCCTTGGGGCCAGGCTCACACCCCCACTGCCCAAAGGTGAGTGACAGACCACAGGAGTGACTGTACACAACTTTTTATAGCTCTGCAGGAACCGGGGCATTTCATGTAAGGGTCCTGTCAAGGCTTGTCCCAGGAACAGTTAATCATTATCCAGCCTCTAACAGGGCACATAATTTAGTTGTTTCAACCAGGGTTACATCAGCTGAGCCACATATTCAGTTTCTTTTCCCTATCAAGTGTTAAACTAGAATTTCCCCATTGCTACATACAGATCAGTTACACGCAGACAGTTTGAAGAACTTGGAGCCCTCAGACTGAGACACCCGTGACTAAACCCCAAAGTGTTTCTGGTTTGTGCCTCATGAATCCCACAGGGTGCTGCTCTGCCACAGCGTTAACCAGGCTTCCACCCACCCAGAGGCACAGGGACCTTGGGTACAGCAACTTCCTGCTCCTCCCCCTGACAGGAAACAGCCCTTGGCGCCTGAGGGAGCTTTAGGGGACCCGCGACAACTCTCTGCGGTATCTAGCTGACACAGCAACGACATGCAGGGAAGATTTCTCCTAAGTTCTCCTTTTTTAGGAGCAAAGGACTCTTGTAGGCACGGGATGGCCAAAACCAGACCAAAACAGTGGGCAGAAAGGGTGTGGGAAGAGGTTTTTTTGTGTCCCAAATATGATCTACTTTTTAGGCGTGGCTGCTTCTGTTCCTCAGCTTTTCAAACCCCCCCTCCCTACAGAAATGGGCCCGTTTCCCTTACTAGCACAGCACACAGCATGGGAATAACTCACCATGGATTATCCCAGACGCAGCTCAGAAGTCTGGTTCTGCAGGAAAGAAGGGCAGAGCATTAGACTTGGGGGCTAATGGCACCCCCTGTCCCCTGTCCCCATAAAGTGCCCCCCAGAAACAGCCCCAGTGTGGCAACCAGAGCTGCCTTCGGCTGCAGCTGAGGCTTGGCCAACACCATCAGCCCTTCTTTATACTCACACAACATAAAGCAAAAATTCACTGCATGACCCTTCTAGTTAAATTCACCAAGGCAGAATCGGGTGACACAACATCACCAAATCCTGTGGATTAACACCAGCCCGTGTCCTCCCTGAATCCTTCACAGGCACGTGTAACAAACAGACTTTTCAGCTAAAACCAAGTTAGCTTTCTATCTCTAACACAAGACCTTCAAACCCCGCTCCATTACACGCTGATTCCCAGGAAAAGGAACAGAGACAGCACGGATACAAAGCAAGGAGCTCCAGCAGGCAGGAGGAAAGGCACAGCATACCCCAGACGTAATCGTGTGCCGCCGGCATGGTGGAATGCGCCACCCTACAGGAGAAGATGTCCTCCCTTGTGGGGATGAAGGGCGCATAGACCAGGCGCTGGAACTGCCACTTGTCGTTGAAGGACAAGTCCCCGTACGTGACGCCGGGAACGGGCACCCCGTTCTTCAGGAGTTCGATGTCAATCTTGGGTGGGTGAAAGCCACTGACAAAGCAGTGGAGAGTGTTCGCCTTTCCCACCTCGGCGCGCGAACGGGCGTACACTTCCACCTTCGGCGCCTCTGGAGAGAGGAGCGAGAGAGCGTGAGAAGCGGGGCTGCCGCGGGCATCGCCTCGATGCCAACACTCGCCCACCCAGCCGGGCACAGTGACCCGGACCCGCCGGGACCCCGCAGCCCCTCACCCCCGTCAGAACCTTCGCGCCTCCTCAGGGACTCACCAGCGGCCGCCCCCAGACCGAGCAGCGCCAGCAGCGCAAACACGCCGAGCGCCAGGGCCCCCCGCGCCATCGCCGCTGCTCGCTGCCTCGCCGTTTCCCGGAATGTCCCACCTCTGCCGGGACTTCGCCTTTTATAGCCTCCGGAACACACGGCCAATCGTGGCGCGGAGCGGCCTCTACGTCATCAGTTTCCAGGTAGAACAGCAGCTCCGGGGTTGTGCGAGCCATCATGGAAGCGCTTTCGCTTTCAGTTCTGCGCTGCGTTGGGGGAGAAACTCGGGCAGAGACCCCGGGGCGTCAGCGGGCAACAGCGGCTGGACGTGAGCCCCGGTGGGCAATGGCACCTGCTCGGGACCAGCCTCGGTACGGCCACAGGCCCAGGGCAGCGCCCGTCCCCTGTGCTGGGCACTGCTGAGGCCACACCCCAAATCCTGGGGTTAGTTCTGCCTGTCTCACTCCAAGAGGGACATTGAGGAGCTGCAGCGTATCCAAGGAAAGGAACAGAGCCGGGGAAGGGGCTGGAGCACCAGGAGCAGCTGAGAGAGCTGGGAGGGCTCAGCCTGGAGAAAAGGAGGCTCGGGGAGACTATCTTTCTCTACTACTCCCTGACAGAAGGGGGCAGCCAGGTGGGGTTGTGCTCCACCCCCAGGGAACAAAGGAGAGGACAGGAGGAAACAGCTTCAAGTAGCACCAGGAAAGGTTTAGATTGGATCTTAGAGAAAAGTTACTCTCTGAAAGGGCTGTCCAGCCTTGCCACAGGCTGCTAGGGCAGTGGTGGAATCCTTATCCCTTGAGGAATTTAAAAGTCCTGTGGATGTGGCACTTGGGGACATGGGTTAGTGGTGGCCTCGGCAGTGCTGGAGCAATGATCTGACTTGATGGTCACAGAGAGCTTTTCCAACCTAAATGGGGGTAAAAGTCACCTCTTGCAGAAGATTTTGCATCTAGGGCTGGTATTACACCAACAGCCTGTGGTGGAGCAAGCCATCCACCTTCCTTTTTTAACCTCTTTCAAAACCTCTGTGGTATGTCTCGTTCCAGTAGCTGCAGGGTGGGAAATTGACTGTTGTTGGAGCACAGCAGAGACTCCCTGACATAAAACATGAGAATTCTAACACCAAAGAACCAGGTGCCTCCTCCAGAAGAACTGTGGTCACCAAAGCCCACCAAGGCTAGGAATGCCACTGAGTGTCCCAGTAGTGCTGCTTGGAAGGAAAATAAAGGAAAAAGAAAGTCAAGTCACTGCTAGTGGGGAGAGAACAGCAGCATGGTCTAAGTACCAAAACACTAAGTCCCCTTAGGACTTCTTAGTGTGTCTCATTAAAACACAAATTAAATTAATAAAGCATGTATAGTGAACACCCCAAAGGCAGTAGGTAAATCAGGAGAGGCCAAGCAAAGGAAAATCTTGAAAACACTTGTTATCAGTTCCCACTGGCCCAGCTCCTGCTGGGTTTGCTGGCTGCTCAGTGAGCAGTGCCAGCTACACAGCTGAAAACACTCAATGTTTTCCTCAGTGTGGGATAAACAGATGCAGCTGTGGCCAGAGCCTTATCAGGGATCTCAGGGCTCCAGCAGAAATAATCCCTGAGTGCTCGGTTGGTGGCAGAGTTGTTGTTAGGGTCACCACAGCAGGAGTCACCAGCCCGGTCCAGTTGTCCCAGGGGTGAATCTGGCTCTGAACCCTCCCCTTGCCTCGGGGAGAGGATGGCAGGACATGGATCCTTTCCATGGGCCCTTTGGGATGTGAATCCCTGGCAATGACTCTAACCCACACCACCTGTCGGAATTTCCCAGTAAAGAGAAGCACAACTCTTCCACGTGATGTTTATTAAAAGCCACCATGATTTGGTTAGAGGAGCCAAATCTTCCACTTTGGGGACACTTCTGCTTTTATTAGCAGAATTATTTGGGGGCGGGTGACATGACCAAGGTGCTCCGGGTATTGAGGGGGATAATTCAGGGGAATAATTCAGGGGAATAAGGGCAACCCGCTATGCTTTGTGGGATGCAGACATTTATAGTGTTAGTGGTATAACCTACCGGAATATTCGGAGCACATCCCAGCAGTTTTCCATAACTCCTTAGAGGGATATCAGCTCTGAGAACAGCACGGTGGGAGCAGCGGGGAAAGCCGGGCTGGGCTGTTCTGCGCCCCTAGAGCCGCAGGTGCGGTCACTGAACCCCTCCATCCCCGGTGTTCCCCCGGCTCCGGGCTCCCGGTGCAGCGCAGTGCGCAGGCGCGGGGGGCCGCTGGGGGCCGCCATGCTGTACGGCAGGCTCCCGGTGCAGCGCAGTGCGCAGGCGCGGGGCTCCGCTGGGCGCCGCCATGCTGTACGGCAGGCGCATGCCGGGGCGGTGGGGGCGGCCCATAAAAGGGGCGGCGGGGGCACTGTGGCCCCGTACTGGGA